GGCAAGCAGCCTTGGAGCGCGAGCGCGACCGCGAGCAGCAGGAGGAAGAAAACCTTTGAGCGACGAAGGGACGAACAGCTCGAGCGAGAGAAGGCCTGGGACGATGAGCGGGAGGCGTCTCGAAAGAGCCACCCAATCTACCGCGACCACGCTGCATGGGTACGCAAGCGACAGATGGACCGGGCCGACGAGGCGGCAAGGGACGACAACGACAGGCGTGCCGAGGCTGACGACAAACGGAGGGAGGCAGCCGACAACGAACACGCCCGCGGCATGGCCGACTCATTCCTCGACAGGCAGGCGCAGGAGCTGGAGCAACGGCAGCAAGCGACGGCCGCGGCACCGGCACCATTCAAGCTCTCGCTCGGCGCGGCGGCGCAGCGCAACCAGCAGAAGGCGGCCTCCAACAGGCGCACGATTGCTGAGGTGGAAGGCCTGCTCGATGACGAGGAGCAGGACGGCACGGCCAAGCGACAGCTCATTCCAATCCAGTTCGAGCCGACGACGGCGGCGGACAAGATGACGGAAGAGGAGCTCAGCAAGGCGGTGCGCGCTCTGGCGCAGGAGATTCCATCGGAGAAGGAGGGCCTGTGGAAGTGGGACGTGCAGTGGGAACACCTCGACGACGGCATCATTCGCGAGAAGCTGCGGCCGTTCGTGGAGAAGAAGATTGTCGAGTACCTGGGTGTGCAGGAGGAGCTTTTGGTCGAGGTCGTCGAGGAGCACCTGCGGAAGCACGGCAGGCCAGAGGACCTTGTGGAGGAGCTACGCGGGGTGAGTGCTGTTTTGTCACACCATCCCATTTCAGAACGATCGCTAATGATACATGACAGGCTCTGGACGACGAAGCAGAAGACATGGCGAAAAAGCTTTGGCGCATGGTTATCTTCTTCACCGAGAGCGAGAAGCGTGGGTACCCTGCTTAGTAGACGCACGCCCAACAAGACTTGGCTATCTCGTTGGGGGGTAAGGAATAGGGAAAGGAAGGGGAAGCAAAAAAAAAAAAGGCATATCGCTTCTATCTGGGCTACGGTGCGGAATAATTTGGCGGGGACTACGATGTTTTATCTTGCTGATGTGTATACTATTCTCAGTTGGCAACCCGAATCATTGCTGGCAACGGCTGTGTCATGACCTATGACTTGGTTGTTTGGTTTAGCTGTCGCAGACATGAATCGACTTGACTGCAGGTTAAACTGCAGGTAAAACTGCAGGTAAAACTGCAGGTTATACTAACAGGACACTGCAGTCCAGCGGCAAGGTGCCTTATCGACAGTCGGCGTGCAATTCATGACATTCGTTGCGAACATACTCCGGCGAGCAACCGGCCGGCGGCCAGAGCCAAGAAAAGGCCCCCTGCAGCGAGTCGGACAGCGGAGGCGTCCGTGAGGGTGCCATATTGCGCAATCCCGAACCGGAGGCCTGGCGAGGCCGCCAGGGGTTTTTTTCTCCCGAGGCCATCGGACGATAAGCGGGGGAAGGACGGTCTATCGGCATGGATTGCATGTATGATGTGCTCTCATAGTGGCATTGATCCGGATCTGCAGTCATTGCTTGCTTCGCGGGTCGAGAACTCTGTCCCGCAGAACTCTCTTTTTTCCCCCCTTCTGTCTGTAAATTGCAAGACAATCAACGACAAGTGGTGAGGAAACTCTGACTATTGCGCTGAGACGCTGCACGTCACAATGGCCGCCGAACCAAGCGCTGCGCCGATATTGGATGAACGAGCACCCCTTCTCTTGAGCTCATCGGCGACAATCTCTGTGACCAGTGACTCGAGTTATGACGCGTCTGACGAGGGGGCTTCGGTTGGGTCGGTAGAGTGTCGTATCCCGCAGCAAAGTTCTCCCACTGACAAGATGCAATGCCAGCCCTCGCGATGAGGAAGCATCTATAGGACGAGATGGTGTCGCGCCGACCCCCCGCGCCGCCATCGTGCGCATCGTCGCCATTCTTCTCCTCGGCACCTTTACCTCCAACGCCGACGGCAGTCTGGTCCTAGCGACACACCCGACCATTGCTTCCGAATTCAACGACCTCGAGGATTCGAGCTGGCTGTTCACAGCTTTCGCTCTCGCCGGCGCGTCCACACAGGCCATCTACGGCAAGCTCAGCGATATCTACGGCCGCAGGGCGTTGCTCGTCGTGGCATACTCGCTCTTCGCGCTGGGATGCTTCATTGTAGGCATTGGAGGGTCCATGGGGGAGGTTGTGCTTGGTAGGGTCATATCAGGGTCTGGCGGATCGGCCATGAACGTCGTTGCTGCGCTGGTCATCACGGATCTCGTCCCGCTGCGCGACGTCGCCGCCTGGCAAGCAACCATCAACCTTGCAGCGACCATCGGACGCAGCCTCGGCGGTCCCGTGGGAGGATGGCTCGCAGACACGATCGGTTGGCGCTGGTCCTTCCTCGGCCAGGCGCCAATCTTCATGTTCGCGCTGCTCCTCTGCATGGCCTACCTCCCATCCACGACCAAGCGCACAGCGGCCCCCGCCAGCGCGGCGGATCAGTCGACGGCCAAGACACCAGAACCGAGCAAGGGATCCCTCTCCCGCATCGACTGGCTCGGGGCCCTGCTCCTCGCCCTTACGATCCTCGCCTTCTCGCGCCCATCGACTCGGCGCAGCAGATCCCTTGTTCCCACCCCGCTGGTCCCGGGGCT